TATAACGGTAAGTCTCGACATATTCGACGTCGACATAATACCGTAAGACAACTACTCTCTAATGGAATTATTTCCATTGATTACGTGAAGTCTAAAGACAACATAGCGGATCCACTAACCAAAGGGTTAGTAAGAGAGTTAGTTGAGAATTCATCGAAGGGAATGAGACTAAAGCCTATTAAATAAGAGTTACCACAACGGCAACCCAACCTAGTTGACTGGAGATCCCAAGATCTAGGTTCAAAGGGACAACCGAGTTGTGAATGATTCAGAAGGATCACTGGGGAGTTAAACTCCTACCCATTTCTATGCTGAAATAGTGATGACTGCAGAGTTTTAGGTTAAGTAAAACTTTTAATGATTCTTATATCTAGGTTAACCTAGTGGAGTATAGTAGGATACTCTTCATAAAAATCACCTATGTAAGTGTGAACTGGGCCGGTTCTATGAGATTTATGAGGGGTTACAATTCTCTAGAACACTCATGAAAGACCAGGTTGTTCAGGGCCAAAATGAACACAATAGTGAGAACTAAACTGTGTCTGGAGATATACTGTGTGAATTCTATTGTCTTGGTTTACACAAACAGCTGAACAGTTCAAGACATCATGTTCACTGTTTAGCTAGTAAATCCGATAGTGTCTCACAAAGGAAGGTTCAAAGCCAAAAGTTACCTATCATTTGCAGAATATTTCTAATTTCTTTACTCTCTTAATTTTAGATCATGTTGTTGCATTTTCTCTCCGTCAAATTCCATTCATGTGGGGGATTGTTGAAAAATTGGTTTATATAAGGCTTATTTTGGGCCAACTTTGAGGCCAAAATTGAATGGGCCCCAAACGTCTTTTGGGGTGGATCCAAAGAGGTGATGTGTTCCTTGCCGCATGGCAAGTCACACGGTAAAGACGGTTCGTCAAAACCATTTATAAGTGAATGGGAACATGACGTCGTTTTCGGGTTTAACATTAATTTTTTTTTAGACAAAGTTCTTTTGAATTTTTTCAATAAAAATTATTATGGGAATATAATTTAAATATAAATTTGGTTTTGGTTTCCTTAAGTGGTTTCCTTAATTTAATTTAATTAAACTATTCAAATAGTTTAATAATAGTATTCCAATAGTTGTGTCTGTTTCACCAACGGCACCTTTTTCAAATTGTTTGGAAATTTGTTCTTAGCAAACGGACAAATCAAGTTGCACCTGTTCAATTTTATTGTACACCTTTTGCCTTCAATGTGATACCTCTTCGGGTCTAATTTTTTGCCTATAAATATAGATACATTTCTAGCAGTCAAGACTATCTGAAAATCAATCTAAATTTTGTCTCATTGTTGTCCAAAATTTTCTACTTTTGCATTATTCTTCATTTTAGATTTAGAATAAAAATCAAAGAGAATATAAAACACAACGTTTGGTTCGCCGTACAAATTTGTTTAGTGTGCTACAACAATTTTGTGAAGATCATTGTATCCTGGGAGATAAACGCCACTCAACCGCAAACACCGTAACGGGGCGAATCTGTCTTAAGGACAGAGTGTCACACGCTCGACTTGGTCTTTGAATTATTTATTCAGTTCTATAAAATAAATACTGTAAGTTTTATTTATTTTGTTTGATTTAGTTTCCATTTATTTTATTTACACAGAAGATTGTTCCAACATCATTAGCCTAGAGAAAACCAAAAATTGTCAGGGTGTGTCGATGTTGAGGCCTCACCTGTTGGTCATGTAATGAAATCTCAATGGATAAGTATTTTATTTCACATTTAATGCACTATACTTTCACAAATCATACCTCTCTTTCCAGATAGCACACCACCAAGTTCCATGTGGATTAGATTCTAAATTTCAAACATTACCTGGCAAGATATATAGATCAATTTCCATCACACATGGACATGTGCATGAACACTTAAAAAATGCCACAAATATACCAGAGATTCCATGTGATAGTTATCCCCATGTAGAAAAGAGAACTGACGCCATTATTAAATGTGCAGTTGAACTTTGACAGATTAATACTGTGAATGATTCCATTTTTCCTACAAAATTATTAAAATTGTAAGTTCCTTTTTTCATATTATGAAAGTCTTAATATATGTACAAATTAATACCTATTTGTATCAATAGATGCATGTTAAACAAATTATGTGTGTGTGGTTCAAAGTAACATACTAATAAATGACATCTTCGGGGAATGAAACTCTTAACCGATCAATTTCATTAGTAAATACCAATCCCATTTGGCATAAGCTAAGTCATAATCAAGAGACAAAAGCAATTGGCTAATGACTCCATAATATTTTCCCTTTCTATGATCACACTCCACCTCCAGATGGTATTTTTATATTTTGGACCCAAAACTACCAGTTTTTTAATATAAATTTAGCTCATGATAGTATCCAATGCTAAAATGGAGGGAAAAAAAAACATCCACTCAAAACCATCCTAGGTCTCATAGCTAGCTATATTCAAGGAGATGCTTGAAATACGAGTAGCCAAAATTGGAAAGAATAAGGTTGCGTTTCGTAGAGTTTTGTAAATATGATTTGAGAGTATGAGTTCTATTTTGAGTTTGTGAGTTTTGGAATTATGATTTGAGTGTGAATTTTTTTGGTGAAAGAGTTTTGAAATTTTTTTTGAATTGAGTGGAAAATTTTTGATGTGACATATGATATTTGATACAAAACTTACAACTCATAACCAAACATGCAACTTAAAATTCTATTAAAGCGCATAAAAAAATTTAAAAATTCAGAAAATATTTTTTTCGAATATATAAAAATTAACATATGTCAATTGCAAAAAAAAAAATAAATAAAAAATTTGCACTGTTCCAATCAACCGACCGTACAACTGGTGGAACGACCGATTAGGTCAAATTTGAAGAAATTTTTTTTTTGAAAATCGTGCTTAAGACAGAATTTTCTATAGAGTTTTGGAAATACATTTTGAAAGCCATACACAAACATGAAGTTGGAATGTGTAGGTAGAATTATAGTTTGGAAATCATTCCAAACACACCCTAAGCCTTCTTGATCAGCTTTATATGTTCACTGCACGTAGAATTGGAACAACAAAGGACTCCAAATAAGCAATTAGAATCTGTTGTGTGCTCATTGTAATAGTGTTGTTGACTAAAATTTGTGACAATTTACACATAGATCTTTGCAATCTGTGTACTGAGTCTGAAGAAGCTCATCGATACTTGGTAGGTCTTATTTTATATTTTTTAAATATGAAATCTTTCTCTCACATGTAGTGCTTGTTTGGTGTAGCTTAAAAGCTGCTTATTTCAATTTTCAGTTTAATTTAAGCTATTTTGATGTGTTTGGTTTAACTTATAGCTTATAGCTTATAGCATTTGGAAGTCAGAAATCAGCTTATTCTTTGAGTGGGGCAGGAGATGCTTAATTTATAAGTCAGAAATCAACTTATATTCATAGTTATAAGTTATAAGCTGTTTAAGCATACGCTATAAGCACTTTCCCACAGTTCTACCAAACAGGACCATAGTAATTTTGGGGAGTAAAATAGATTATACAAACAAGAAAATTGCAAAAATCTTTAGTTCTTCTCTCTCTATTTGATTTTACACATAGATCTTTTCAATCTGTGTGCTGAGTCTTAAGAAGCTCATAGGTACTTGGTAAGTTTTATTTTAAATTTTTTTAATATGAAATTTCTCTCTCACATATAGTAATTTTGGAGAGTAAAATTGATTATACAAATAAGAAAATTGGCTAAATCTTTAGTGATTCTTTCTCTATTTGATTTATTTATTATTATTTTTTTTTAATCAGCTGTTGTTCATATAAAATTGACTAAACCATTAAAGGCATCCTACTTTATTATGTTACTTGGCTTCCATTTGGAATTAAATTATTCACTTTGCTTTTAGTTTACAATTTTTTTTAAAAAATTTAATATTATCATTTGTAAGTGTTTAGCAATAATAGATTAATCTGCAATAATAGATAGATATATAATACTTGATCTTAAAATATAATTTATCCAGTTTAATGTAATTTATCATCTGAATTAAAATGTAATTTATCCAATTTAATCTTAACATTATGTTTCTTAAATAGATTTAATTTTTTAAAAAGTTTTGGATCTGAATTAATACTTGATGTGTTTTATTTTTTAAATAGGTTTTAATTTATTTACATTTTCTATACAGTATTTAGTTTTTCTATGTTGTGTGCTTTTGGATGATTTTCATTTCAAATAGTTTCGGAGAGTTGGTCTAACCAATTTGTTATGTTTAATGGGTTTTATTTTTTAAATGGATTTTAATTTGTTTATATTTCATGGACAGTAATTAGTTCTTCTATGTTGTGTGCTTTTGGATGATTTTCATTTCAAATAGCTTTGGGGAGTTGGTCTAACCAATTTGTTACGTTTACACTTGAAATTAGAATTACTCTACAAATTTTTCTGCATTTCAGATCCTTAATACACTTGATAGTACCAAATGAAGAGTAAATAAAAAAGTTCTTGGTATCATAGACAGAATATGGGTTAGCATTTTGATAGCAACTTGATAAAATATCACATATTTCTACTTCTTTTCTTTTTTTTCATTACCAAGATGAGTTGAATGCCTACATTATACTGATGTGCTTTATTATGTAAAGCACTTACTGATGTGCTTTAGTATATAGATTTAGTAATATTTTTTTTCTTTTTATTATAGATTTAGTATACAATAACTTCAGTTTCTGTTTTTTATTTAGTGTTTACAATTTTTTTTTTACTTACTCTTATATTTTGATTTGTAATATTGGTAAACATTATAAATCTTATATGCTTATTTCTTAATTTTCATGGGAGAGTTATTTTTTTATTTGAGTTTTGTAGAGCATATAATACAAGCAAAAACGTTACAAATGCTTTAAGGAAAAAAAATTTTAAATATACTTTTATAAATACATTTTAATTTTAATATTATTTATACCGTGACTTTAGGTACGTGCAAGTAATATATAATAATAATAATAGTTACATATTATACATGAATCAAGGATAAAGACGAAGGATAAAGACGGGGAGACAGAAGAGAGAGGGAGCGAGTGAGAGAAGCAGAAGCGAGAGAGAGGGAGAGAAGCGAGAGAGGAGACAGAAGCGATCGCGATTGCGATTGCGATCGCGAGAGAGAGAGAGAAGGTGAAAGAGAGAGCTTTGACGAAGTGGACTAGATCGACTTCGGAGGGCTTCGATCGACTTCAGAGGGCTTCGACTGAGAGAGAGAGCTTCAATCGACTTCAGAGGTCTTCGACTGAGAGAGAGAGGGTCTTCGCAGGTCTGACTTTATTCCTTAACTCTCTCAGTTGTTCGATTAGGGCTTTACATGTTTTATTATTATTATTATTTTTTTCTTTTTAAATATTACACTTCGACGCCAAATAAATATAACAAATTCAAAAAAGAACCCCGCCGTGGCCCATGGCGTGGCCATCTGGACACGTGTGTCCCCGCCGTGGCCCATGGCGTGGCCAAAAAATTATTAAATTACCCGTACGTGTCCCCGGCATGTCCACGTGTCCGGCACCGCCACAGCATGCTTTATAGATGACAATCTCTTTTACATCATAGCAGCCCTTGAGGCCCCATGTGCATCAGCATTATCCTTTTCTTGTGTGTGGGGAGGAAGCCCATCAACAATCTCTCCATAGCCTTTAAATTGCTCCCTAACTCGGTCCTCATCCCACTGGGGAGGAAGCCCATCAACAAATACTGACTTAACCTGGGCCGTTACCTCTGGATCTGGTTCACGTAAAGGTTCAGCAAAAGCTACTTTGGCAGTCCTCTCAGAATGGTCAAAAACAGCATCCGGCTTTTGAAGCCTCTTATATGCAAGCATGGCATCAGAATGTCAAGAGAACTCAATAAATGCAAAGCCACGACTCAACCCTTCATGCCAAACATCTGAGACAAGAGGAGTAATGTTCTCAACACCTTCAATTCCATAGTCTTTCAGTTTTTGTTTGATCTGCCAGGTTGCCAACCCATGTCAAATTAATAATGAGCAAGCAATCTTGCTTAGAATACATCTACTATGTTAAGTAAATCTTACAGCTTCCTTTGTCCACGTATTGCAAATATTTCCCAAGAACAATGTGTCATTGTCCGCATTTGGTGCAGTCCCACATCGCTTCCCACGTATCTATGAACAACAAAAAATTAGAACACACTAAAATTAGAAAAAGCAACAACAACAACTAAGAGAAAATTCATACTCAGTTTTTGTTTGATCTGCCAAGTTGCCAACCCATGTCAAATTAATAATGAGCAAGCAATCTTGCTTAGAATACATCTACTATGTTAAGTAAATCTTACAGCTTCCTTTGTCCACGTATTGCAAATATTTCCCAAGAACAATGTGTCATTGTCCTCATTTGGTGCAGTCCCACATCGCTTCCCACGTATCTATGAACAACAAAAAATTAGAACACACTAAAATTAGAAAAAGAAACAACAACTAAGAGAAAATTCATACAAGAGGGTTTTTCATTTCTGATAAAGCTCGGCTTGCTTGCTCCTTAGTTGCAAACTTCACAAATGCATAACCCTTATTTTTGTTAGTTGAAGGATCCTTATTCAACCTAACTCCAACTACCTCACCAATGTTCTCAAAAGCCTTTTTCACGTCCTCTTCCACTGCATCACGATCCAACCCACCAACAAATATCTCCACCTCTTTCCTAATCTTGCGCTCTTTTGCCACAGCAGTAAATTCCAAGCATTCCTCTTCCAATGCCTCTTCTTCTTCGCCATGCTCCTCGATATTTTCCTCTGCAAGCTCTTCCTCACCAAATTCTTCAAGAACTTCTTGGTCCCTGCACTCCTCCATCCTCTCCGCACCCTGGTACCCATCCCCAGGTTCAGCATCTTGTCCTTTCAATTCCTTGTTGGTATCTTCCTCCATGCTGACAAGCTCATTATTGGGTCCCACTTTATCCTCAACAATTCTCATTTCCTCCTTTTTTTCCTTCACCTCGGCTTCCTCCCTTGCCATAACAGGTTCTCGACTCTCTAAAGACTCTGCAACATCGACAGCAACAGGATCTTCCTGCGTTGTAGATTTTCCAACATTTGGAACCAGAGGTTGTTCCACATCAACGGCCTTTTCTTCTTGCTTTGTGGGTTCTTCAACATTCATAACACTCTGATCCTCCTCCGTTTTGGTTGCTTCAACATTTTCAACAGCAGGTTCTTCCATCTTGGCAGATTCTTCAACATTTGAAACAGAGGATTCTTCTTTCTTCTCAGAATCTACATCCTTAGCATCCCCAACCTGTTCCTTCTCGGAGGATTTTTTACCCTTCAACTTTTCAGTTCCCTCCGGCTTAGGTGTCTGCCTAGTAACAGCTTTGACTGAAGTGGGAGTTTTGGTTCTAACCAGTACTTTCCTAACCACAGTTTTTGTTTTTTTAACTCTCGTAGCTATTTTCCAACATTTGGAACCAGAGGTTGTTCCACATCAACGGCCTTTTCTTCTTGCTTTGTGGGTTCTTCAACATTCATAACACTCTGATCCTCCTCCGTTTTGGTTGCTTCAACATTTTCAACAGCAGGTTCTTCCTTCTTGGCAGATTCTTCAACATTTGAAACAGAGGATTCTTCTTTCTTCTCAGAATCTACATCCTTAGCATCCCCAACCTGTTCCTTCTCGGAGGATTCTTTACCCTTCAACTTTTCAGTTCCCTCCGGCTTAGGTGTCTGCCTAGTAACAGCTTTGACTGAAGTGGGAGTTTTGGTTCTAACAAGTACTTTCCCAACCATAGTTCTTGTTTTTTTAACTCTCGTAGCTACTTTTGTTTCTGGTGTCACCTCCACAGCATCAGCTGATGCTTTTTCTTGTTCAACTAAACATCAAATAAGACCAGTTAAAACCACACTGATGGAGTTACATACACATACACATGCTCTATGTATAAATATGTAAAACACCCTAATTCAGAATCAAAAACAAGGAAAAGTAAATGCAATCATACATGAATTACCTATTAGTATTGCTAAAAACTCAAATTCAATTAAAAAAAATAAAAATCACTTCATGGCTATATTAGCATAAACACAAATAATTGAGAAACGATAAGGCTAAGCAAAGAGTCGAACTCTACTGGGTTGTTCGGGCACCGAATCAGCGGCGATGGGCGTAGTATCGTCGGTCTTCACTAGCTTCGCTTTAGAGGCGGAGGCGGCTTTGGTGTCGGTGGTTTTGGGCGTAGACGATCCTGTCTCGGGCTCGGGTGGCGGATTCGGAGGGGTTTTGACGGTGAATTTTCTGGACGGTGGCGTCTTCTTCGCGGCGGTCGATTTGGCCGGTGGAGCCTTCTTCGCAGAGGCCGGTTTGGCTGGAGGAGTCTTCTTCGAGGCAGCCGATTTCGCTAGTGTATTCTTTATGATCGATGCGTCAAACGAATAAACCCTAAAATCAACAAATGTCCGATCCGATCAATCTGAGAAGAAGTCTGAAACTCTAGCAACCGACGACAACGAGAGAGAGAGAGAGAGAGAGGTGGTTTATGTTGTGGCACTTGTTCCGAGTATTTTTAGTGGGGATGGGATATAAATGTACTTTTTGTCATTTTAAATAAAAAAAAAATAGGTAAAAAAATATATGTTTGGAATAGTTTTTTGATTATTTATAAAAATTTGTATAATAAAATTATAAATGTACAGTTACATTGATCAAATTGTTGACTTTTGGGGTGTGCATGATTTAAATTTTTTTTTAATGGAAATTCGTTTCTTGAGATGTGTCATATCTTCTCATTTTGCTAAATATATATGTAAAGTATACTGGCTGAACCTATCGGATATTAAAAAAATAAATAAATAAAATAACTACATGCTTATTGTATGAACTTTTTGGTTTTTTTAATAATTTTTTAACTTTTGAAGGTGATCTCAAACAAGCACTGAGGGCTCGTTTGGGAATAGATTATTTTAGTAATTTTTTGACTTTTTGGCTAAAATATGAGGTAAAAAAACTTGTATGTTTGGAACAATTTTTTGATTTTTTACAAAAAGATATGTAAAAAGTAGAGAGAAAATGAAACCTTTGACTTTTTTATATAGGTTATAAGTTTTTTTATTTTTTTAATAATTTTTTTGACTTTTAAGCTAAAACTTTTACTTCCCAAACGAGGTCTAAGTCTTCGTTTCAGAAGAACTAAAATAGCCTGGCTTTTTGGCTATTTTAGGCCTCGTTTGGCATGTGTCTGTTTTAGCCTAAAAGTCAAAAAGTTACTAAAAAAAATCAAAAAGTTTATAACCTATACAAAAAAGTCCAATATTCCATTTTCTCTCTATTTTTTGCTCATCTTTTCATAAAAAACCAAAAAGCCGTTCCAAAATACTAGTTTTTTTTACCTTATATTTTAGCCAAAAAATTAAAAAATTACTAAAATAGCATGTTCCCAAACAAAGTCTTAGTCTTGTTTTTTTAGCCTCGTTTGGTTTTTGTTTTTGGCTTTTGACTTTTGCAAGATAAAAAGTGTAATGATTATGATTTGAATGTGATATTTTATCTCATTGACTTATGTAGTCTATTTTATCTTTGGGCCTGGCTCTGGTTCAGTCCACCATCGGATTGGACCGTGCTGTTGGGCTCGTGAGGGCCCACCACAGGTCCCGTTTTGAAAATATGAACCGTTCAATGTGTAGAACTCGTCGAGTACTATATGCTTGTGAAAAATCACGTTGATCGGATATCGATAACTATGTGATCAAAATAGTTTTTTATCAACCGTTAATTTATTCACCGTCAATTTTTTTATACAAAACTAATTTGATCACATAGCTATCGATATCCGATCAACGTGATTTTTTACAAGCATATAGTACTCGACGAGTTCTACACATTGAACGGTTCAGATTTTCAAAACGGGACCTGTGGTGGGCCTCCACGGACCCAACAGCACGGTCCAGGCAGATGGCGGACTGGACCAAAGCCAGACCCTTTATCTTTTTGTGTTTTTTTAGTTAAAAAGCCAAAACCAAACATAGAATTCTCCTAAGTATACACACTTATAAAATATACATATTATAAAAATTAAATTTTCAATATACATCTTTATATTTTAATATTACCTTCATTTTTAATTTTAAAACCCTAAGGCTATTTTTGAATGATTTTTTGAAATTTTTATGAGAAAAACATAAATTAATTTGACAAAAAATAAATACTTAAAAAATATTTTTAAATTTTTTTTACCTAAAAAGATAAAACTATATTGAATAAGAAGTTTTATTTATTTATTTTTTAAAATATATTATAAAACTATATCAAACAGAGTGTAATTTTTTTTCCATTCATCCACTCATTTTTTGTTGTCGTTGCCGCCACTTTCAACTCTCCATCACCACTTCTAACTCATCTCCCTTCATCCTAGACCTATACAATCAATGTTGCATGATTCGTGGTGAGAGACTTGTGAGAGTATATGGTTCATGGTGGGAAGTGATCGCAGAGAGATAAAAAAAAGAGGTGACAGAAGGGAATTGCAAACGAGAGAGGTACGCTAGTAATAAAAGATGATTATAACGTTTTAGAAATAGAATTTGAACAATAGAAGATAAAGATATTATGATATTTTTATCACAGATTAAAATTATGTTAATAAAAATTTTCATTAAGTATATGAACAGAATGAAGTTAGTGTATGAAAATAAAATTATCCTTGGTTCCACGCAAGGCAAGGCAAGTGAATTTTTATTTATATTGGGAAGTGAAGTTCAAAACATTGATATTTTAAAACGACGTCGTTTTGACAATTTTAAGTCATTTAAGCCGCACTTTTTTGTGGCTCTCTACCATTGCTCTTTAAAATACATGGTGTCGTACTTGGTTCTCTAATTTGACATTGAAGATGCCCATCATAATAAGAAAAATGTTTGACACCTGGAGACCCCACAACCTCGTTGATCTTAACTGTGTGGATTCACTCATGTGACCATCAATGATGATGGAAATCCAAAGGTTATGGGATCAAAAAAATGGATTCTCAGTCATTATTATAATAATAAATAAACGTGATCGAAAGAAACCAGCATTACCATTTCCATTTCTATTTCCAGGAGACCTTGCTTGGCTTCTCTCTGTCTCTTTTCATCAATGGGTTCATCAGAATCAACACTCTCAAGCTCACAGGTAAGCTCGTCACTTTCACTTCATATATTTTTTTCCTGTATATCTTCAAGAGACTTACTCGATAGTAATTGATTTTTTCTTTTTAATCGAATTTTCATTTCGTGTATGTGAAGAGGGCGGACGATGAGATCACCACCGTCTCTTTGCGATCAGTGGTCGTAGATCCCCTCCTAGAGAAGCTCAGATCCCTTAAAATCGTGAGTCTTTTTCTTCTTTAAATCTATATAGGGTTTTGTATTGCTTCTCATCTCAATTCTCTCTCAAATTTTGTTAATTTACTTTTGTGCATATATGTATAAGACTCTATCAGAAGACTGTGATGTTGTATTGTTTTCCTTAAATTATCACGTCTATATCTGAGTGGCGAAGTTTTGTTAGGGTTTATTTGTTTGAGAAGGTTTTTGCGTCTTGTAGAAGAAAGGAGTAGCTGTTCTTGCCCGGTTTAGTGTTAGTTCGAGATGGGTGGAGTTTAATTGCTGGCCAAATGGGGAGCAGATTTTTGGAGATTGAGGATTCTAGATTGAAGGTCATGGTGAGATTCATAAGGTCGATTGAAAGGGACCTGTTGGAAGTGGTTCAAGATGTGGGTTTTGAAGGTGGGGTTTATAGTATGTAGTGGCACAAATACTGTGGATGTTGATGTGTAGGTGAGTTCAACGTCGAGCAATGAGTTGAAATTGTTCCTTTACCGTGTTTTGTTGTTTTGTTAGATTGACCGCAAGTGGAATGTGACAGCAAGGATCAAAGTGTTCAATCTCTCCGGTGTGTTTCATTTGTTTATGTTCTATTCATAGTTGGAGGCTCAAATGGTGTTCCATGAAGTGTGTTGTTTTGTCAATCAACCAGTGTTTTAGACGAGTTGTCACCTAGGGTGTGTTGCGTCAAACCAAAAGCAGGGCCAAAAGATTTGTAGATGTAGCTCATTGGATTACCTTTATATTTCTAGAACTATAGTGCTTTCAACCAGTTTGGATATATGTGTGAGGGTTTTGTTGGTGTCGACAAGGATACAGTGCAATGAAGGCATTTCAGGTAGGCTAGGGCTTATGGTGAAAGGGGACAACAGTGGTATTCCAAATGGGGTTTCAAATAAGGGTTGTTCAGCACAAAGGTGGAGGTTCGAGGCAGTGATGTGGATTGGGGGAAGAAGGAAGTGACATGTGAAAATTAGAGGCCTCAGTCGTGTGGAGAAAAAAGTAAAGAGGTGCAAAGCAGTAGGTGACGTAGTGGAATGAGGGAGGCTGGAGGTGTTTCAATTTTAAATTGGGGGACAACTAGATTTGATGAGGCAAGTGTGGTGAAGAAAGGGACGTGTGCAAATAGGTTAGAATCAGGCTGAAGCTTGGTAGATTTACTTGGGCCCAAAAGTTGAAATGGGTTGGTGGAGAAGGGCCAAGGCTTTTGGACTAAGAAGCACGGACACTTCTAAAAGGTAACATCTTGTTGGACACTTCCCAATACTACATACATGAAACATATTATAAGTTTGATTAAAATAATTTGGAATCCAATGATAAACCAAAAACAATTTATATTTATATTTATTTTTCTCTTTAGACTTTAAAAGTTATTATATTTGACTTAAATATTCATAGATATGACATAAACAGATATATAATTATAGCTTTTGCACGTGTCCCCCAACTGTTATGTTCTACATTTTTTGAACATTTCCTTGTCGCTATGTCCATGTCGTGTCACATGTCTATGTCCTTGTTCCTTAGCCAATGAAAATGTTCCTTGACTGATGCATGATATTAATATCAATCTCAGATGCACTTATCAAAAAAATTGATATGGATCTTAAATGATTCAACCTAGATGTTTTAGCGGTGCGAACCATTTTTGTGTTGCTATACTTGATCATGAAGACAGTCAGCTGGTAGTTGTACTAACTCTTGAAGGCATTGCTTAATAGCATATTACACTATTTCTATGTGAAACAAAAATTTAAGCTTACACCTCAAGATTCAACGATAAATATTAACAGCATGGTACTATTTGCATTTCTCATTTTGGTACTTGTTCTCCACCTGTTACTGTGTATATGAAGATGTCTTTTTCTGACTACACTTGCAAGGTAGAGTTTAACAAGCAAAAACTGGAAGGCTAATAGTGCTTCAATTTTTTCTCTGTTTATTCATCATGTACTGGAATGAGCTCAAGCCAACAAATTCTTTCTTTAACCATTTGGAAATGGTGATGCCATTCTTTCTGAAGTAAAACTGAGGATTCTTACTAAGCTTTCTGACATTAATTAGCAGCTAAACTAGGCAATATTTCCCAAGCACTGTGAAATACAGTATACCATCATTACTCTACATCATATAAATGTATAAACCTATGGTACCTGGAATGTGGATAGTTCCGGTACATGGAACGAGAATGTGGTACGCCACATGCTCTAAAATGTAATAAGGTAGGAGTAGACTTGTGTAGATTATATTATAAGAATTTTATGTACTTCTAGAATATTTTTTTTTTTAACATGGTATCAGAGCAAGGTTAAGCAGTTCGTATTTTTCGCTTCACCGGCGGGCGGCAACCTCGCCTTGGCCGCCCGCCGGACCCCAACCTAGTCCGCTAGAATTTTCTACACATACCTTAAAATTTCCATTTCCAGGAGCCCTTGCTTGGCTTCGCTTTGTCTCTTCTCATCAATGGGTTCATCAGAATCAACACTCTCAAGCTCACAGAGGGCGGACGATGAGATCAGCACCGTCTCTTCGCAATCAGAAGTCGTAGATCCCCTCCTAGAGAAGCTCAGATCCCTTAAAATCGCAACTCCAATATTGACAGCACCACTGGAAGAGGAGACTAGCTTGACAGACATTCTAGTGAGAAAACCCTCATCCTCTTCTGCTTCAGGTGATCTTTTTTTCTTTTTTCTTTTTTTTAAATTTTGAAGAACTGTTATTTGGGAATTTGGAAGCTCATGAATCGTATACATATTGTACAGAAGTGTCCCAAAATGACTTGAAAAACAACATATCACAAAAAAATTGAGTTATTTCACGAGGGAGAGATGGGGTTTGTCTGCTCTTCGGAGAAAGGGCTAGGGTGGAACTGGGCAAGAATTTGTGTTATAATTATAACTCATAGGAAAGTGCTTCAATGTACTAATTCTATTTTACATGTCATTCTAAAGATGTCAACTGCTGAAAGTGAATCATGCCCCAGAACTTTAAAACCCACTTCCCATTCATCTGTCTCCATGTGTGTTTTGATGTAATTCTTTCGCATCGAATTAAGCCACATGCCTCTTACCACTTGTGCATGCCCCTGTCAGTTCCTTCTGAGTTTCGTTCTTATGATGAACATACTCGTGTGTGTGAAATAATATTCATTCATGTTATTCATGTGTAAAAAGCATGGAAGCATTACAGTCTGCTGGAACAGTTTCACATTGCAGATGCATATTTGATATATATATGCATGCACAAATGAAACATTTGACCCGATTCTTTTTGGATATAGTAACGGTTGCAACTTAATTTGGTGTAGCTTGTGTTTTTGAGGACACATGTATTGTTACTTTATTCACACCATTTTTTGTATGTAATGCATCATTTTGAAATAGTATAACATTCCTATGGATGAAATTGATACAGTAAATCTGATGGTTCTGCTGGAGCTCTTCTCAATGTACCGTGATTGGCAGGAGGCAAAAATCCAGACGATTAGTAAGAAACAGGTTCACTTTGAGAATGATAAAAGTTTCGTTCTTATGATGAACATACTCGTGTGTGTGAAATAATATTCATTCATGTTATTCATGTGTAAAAAGCATGGAAGCATTACAGTCTGCTGGAACAGTTTCACATTGCAGATGCATATTTGATATATATGCATGCACAAATGAAACATTTGACCTGATTCTTTTTGGATATAGTAACGGTTGCAACTTTAATTTGGTGTAGCTTGTGTTTTTGAGGACACATGTATTGTTACTTTATTCACATCATTTTTTGTATGTAATGCATCATTTTGAAATAGTATAACATTCCTATGGATGAAATTGATACAGTAAATCTGATGGTGCTGCTGGAGCTCTTCTCAATGTACCGTGATTGGCAGGAGGCAAAAATCCAGACGATTAGTAAGAAACAGGTTCACTTTGAGAATGATAAAAGTCATATTTTATGATAGTGCTGTTATTGCAGTGAGTATATTTATGTATTCTGCCTGGACAAGGCATGAATAAGATCAGATCGGCAGCCAGCTCACCTGAACCCTGTCTAGTATTTAGTGGCAGAATCCATGGATGAATGAAGCTGCAATGAATAATTATGTATTCTTATTGTCTGCACTAGTTAATTATTTGCAACTGAAAACTTTGTATTGGGGTTGTTGTTAAGGGAAGATCATTTGATTTGTTTTGCTACATATTATGATAATCAATTATAACTGATGCAGGAAGAGGTCGAAAACAAGATAGAAGTTGCAGATGCTTTGACAGTTAAACTTTTTCAGCGTTTTAATTATTCACTCTCGACAATGAAGACTACTTCGCATCATCTATCAGAAGGTGAGTGATGTTCTTGCCTAGACTCTTCAATAAATAAACTTAAATATATCTATATATATATAATAAAAATAAAGAAAGGGAAAGAAAAACACAAGCCCATTGCAGGTTGCAAGAAAACAATTTCCAAGAAACTGCTCACTAACTCAAATCTCATATTACGGAATGCCGTTGATAGGCAATAACTGTCCAATTAAGAACGCTTAGCCCTGAAAATTTTGGTGGAAGCCCAAGTTGCCTACCTTGGTTCTCCTTGAATGTGCTCATGTACCTGATGAAAGGATGACTTGCTTGATTTGAACTATTATCTTGAGAATCGGTTGATGTGATGTTGTAGATTGTGGGCTTTGTATAATTAGACTTCACATTAAAGTTGTTGTTTAACTGTGTATAAAAATTGCATGCAGTTCATGCATTGCAGGTTGATCTTGGGGAGCTGAAGGGAAGGTTGACTGAGGCGATTAGCAACTGTGATTCATTATGCAAGAGAATCAATGCAGAGGGACCCGAATCACTGAGATCATCTGTCAAGCCATTTTCAGTCACCTCAGCAGACGTTGAAACCAGCTGTCGCTCCCATTGAAAGAGAGCGTTAAATAGAAGCCAGTCTACCATGGAATCCAAGTTAGACTGACTTGCTCATTTACTTATTGTTGTAAATTTTCCAAGTATTCGACAATCATGGTTGTAGAAATTGAGGTTATACCCTCGGGGCCGGGCTAGTGCAGTTTGATCATGCTTCTCTGATTAGCACCTGGTTTTGTCATGGTCAGAAAAGAAGAATAGAGCACTTGTACACCAATCTCCCTTTTGCATCCTACCGTTGTTCATAATTCAATAAAACCTGTGTTTGTGCCATCGTTTCACAGCTTTTATGTTCTTTTATCCATTGTAATGTTAAATGTACGTCATGTAGTTTCATTCAATCTTCAATGTTATCCAACTATAGAGTGTTTTTCACTCATCTTTTAAAAGGATGGCTTTTATACTGGTCTCTTTTTTTTAGGAACTTTTTCAATTTTTGTCAAATTATGAATTTATTAATGCTTCCTGTTTGAGAAAACAATAAAGATGTGATGAGACTCAGCTAAAATAAGTTAAATCATATATTAATTATTTTTATATTGTTCTATGCACGATTTAAGTGTAAATAGATCATTCAGACGGTGACATCTCCAGTAGTTTAGTTTCTGGATTCCCTGGTAAACTGCGGACACAATACATTACAACATCATCACATAGTCAAATTTAATCACCAATGTATAGCATTGGAGTCGATCAGAATAGAAAGTAGACAAAATCAGATCATCCACAGCATCTCCAAAAGAGTTGTCATTATTCCAAATGCAAGCAGAACAAATGGTAGAGAAAGATCCAAAATATAACAATGAAACGTTTCTCAACTTCATATTAAATGAATGAGAGGGCGGGTGGGTGTTGAAGACAATCAAACAACCCATTAACATCAAAAGTTTAAATTTAACAAGAGTACTCACATTGTAATCAAACTATATTGTCCCCGGAACATAGTTATAAAAACTCAAAACACTAAAAACAGAATTGAACCATAATTTAGAGAATCGAAAACAAAGACAAAATGGTTGAATCAATCAAGGCTGTTGCTGAGCAAGAGAGATCACCAGAAGACAAGACGGAACATAAATTTCATTTGCATTAAAGAAGCACAATGTACACATCTAGTTGGACTATTACAAGTATAATATACATATGATTGTCAAATATTACATACAATAGTATCCATATAGAAATAATCATTAGAAGAACGCGCTGCCGACAGACCTATGTATTGAGAGACTCTCTTACTAGCAGCTGAAACAGGTATCGGCATAATATAGACAAAATTGTGGGTGACTCAATATCAACATGGTTAGCTCTCATGTGAATCCTATTAAAAGGCTAACAGCTGAGCTAGTGCATGACCCCCTTCAATGGCAGTGGTGGATTATGGGGGTCATGAGTTTTGAATAACTAGATTTAGTTCTTGAGCACATTTCGCCAGTAGACCACCTCTCCTACAGAAAATCATTAGTAAATAGATTAAAAAAGAGTTATGAGTTGCGAAACCACGTTCGTGGTTACTTGAGGCAAGAAAGCAAATAAAGCTATTCAACAATCTAATATGTTTAAACTAGCGGTAACCCGTGCTATGCACGGGCAAGTAACAAAAAATGATAAATAATGTTGAACATGCTAAAAATTAACAATTAAATACTATGATATTTATTTAGATAGGTATTGAAATAATATATTTAGTGATCTTACTATATTTAATTAAATAAATTTTAAAAGAAAAAAAAGTTGAACCGAAAATTAAGAGTAAGAGTGGATTCTGTAAATATAAGATATAGATAAAAACAAATTAAGTTTAAATTTGAAGATAAACTATATATATAAGAAAATTAGACAAATCCTAGAAAAATGAGGTAGAGAGAAATTCAGTAATTGAAAAAAAAAACAAAGTTGAAATTTAAAATTAAAAAATAAGATAAGACAAACTTGAAAAGAAAAATAAAATCTAATATAACTCTAATAACAGATCGCAGAAAGGACAACTTTAGAATAATTCCTGTAAGAAAAACTTCCGTCTTGGATAATGACCTTTTCTGGGGAGGAGAGAAAAATGAATCACTTTTGCCTCCTCCCCCCCCACCCCTCTTCAGAAAACACACATACACACAAGAGATAGTGCAGGAAGAGTTCTTGGATCCTCCACTAGATTAATCCATTCTTCATTAAAAGACTATTTTCTAACATGAAAACTATAATATAAAGTCAACTCTCTTAACAAATTACTAGTAGATTGGGTCCCCTGGATTTGGTCAATAATCTGGACTTAAGAACCCGGAAAGCATTATCACACACTACAGCACCCCATGTCAATGTTTTCCGACCCCCAGCAACATAAAAATTTACCTTTCTATCTTGCTATCCAGTAAACCCAAAAGCACAGGCAGCAAGCAAGAAAACAGATCTAAGGTGAGAATCTCCATTTTCTCCATGAGAATACTCATCAGGTCTGCTTGTACCTACACCAGGGAGAATGAACCTTCAAAAAATTAAACAAACACGAAACTGGTTACCAACAGAACAAGCAACAGACTTGAAATCATCCAATGAATACCCACAGAATGATCAGGCAACTTCCTCACAGCATCAATAGCACCATTAATATCATTCCGATCCCAAAAATGCCGCAACACCTGCAAATTTGTTAGAATTTTACATGCTCACAGCCTTGTAATATAAAATAAGATGCTAGAACGCAATTCATGTAACCAGCAACATCTTTAAATGTTCTGGCAATGGAGGCTGATTTGGACCCGCTAAACTTACCTGTAATTTCGTCAAGCGGGACTGAAGGGTACTCAAGAATACATCATGATTCTGCATCAAATCTTCAGTTAAGTCACCATCATTTGAGGATGTCAACTCCCTTCCAGTAATTTGTGGATCTCTATTCTGTAAGTCGCCACGTAACATGATGAATATTCGAAAGACACTCTTTAGACAAAATCTAAAAATGTGTCTGCATTAAATGAGAGAAGGAAAAAAAGAAAACTGAAATATAACGTTTAACATTATACACTCCAGAACAAATCCCAATCCCCTAGGCCTCTCTTCCCCTTCCTCTTCCTCATAAATGCAATCATTACTTTGGCTAGGCTACTAGTTTGTAGAACCTTAATTGAGAGAGAGAGAAACTGGGACACTAATTCTATAGGTTTCAATTTATACAACTATGGCCTATCCCCCTTGCACCCCAACTTTTCCAACCTTAACTTTAGGTATGGTCCATCCAATGAAAAGAGGAATTTCATGACTACCAATTTATCAGGCAAGCTAAACAGCGAAGACAGATTTCTGACAACACAACACCTAAATAAAAAGCTGACTAACCAAGAAACAGCTTGTTTACCTTATAAACACCGGAAGAATTTTTTGGATCTTCTGCAGATGGATAAAACACTGATTGCAGCATTCGAGTCTGTCAGAGAAAATTTTCAAAAAGAAATCGGTGTGCTATACAAGTAATTCTCATCCATTCACCGCCATATATTTAGAATGGTGGGTGGGAATGGAACCAAAAAAAAAAAAAAAAGTTCCATTAGATGTTGATAGCTGTACCTTTTCTCTGCATGAAGATCGGGACCAATGACTGGAGGTGCTGAAATGGCCGAGCGGACTACTGGTCCAAAGACTGCAACAAGTTTCAATAGCATCTCCAGGGAAATATTGGCATGCCTATATAATTGTAAGCATTATTAAGATATCTGTCAGGATCCAAGAAATAAAGAGGATATTTATTGCAAATTCACAATTTATCAGTGATATTCTTCAATCATACAGTAATTTATTTATTTATTTTTCTAGTAATTATTTGAAAATCATACATGCTGTGTCAAGTATCGTTACACTGTATTAATAACCATCAGTCAGAAAATAGATTTTCTCTAGGAATTATAAGGAAATCTTACATCTCTGTCAAGTATTATTATAAAAGGCTCTTGTTTCTTTCATTTTATAATTTCGCTTCCTTTGCGTGTATGTGTACTTTTTCTTTTCAATTTCAAATGAGAGACCTCAAGATAATATCAAGTTTTCTCTAGGTTTTAGTGCTTCATTAAAAAGAAAAAAAGTTTTTTATCTAGATTTTATGTACTAAATTAGAATAATTCCTGTAAGAAAAACTTCCGTCTTGGATAATGACCTTTTCTGGGGAGGAGAGAAAAATGAATCACTTTTGCCTCCTCCTCCCCACCCCTCTTCAGAAAACACACATACACACAAGAGATAGTGCAGGAAGAGTTCTTGGATCCTCCACTAGATTAATCCGTTCTTCATTAAAAGACTATTTTCTAACATGAAAACTATAATATAAAGTCAACTCTCTTAACAAATTACTAGTAGATTGGGTCCCCTGGATTTGGCCAATAATCTGGACTTAAGAATCCAGAAAGCATTATCACAGACACTACAGCACCCCATGTCAATGTTTTCCGACCCCCAGCAACATAAAAATTTACCTTTCTATCTTGCTATCCAGTAAATCCAAAAGCACAGGCAGCAAGCAAGAAAACAGATCTACGGTGAGAATCTCCATTTTCTCCATGAGAATACTCATCAGGTCTGCTTGTACCTACACCAGGGAGAATGAACCTTCAAAAAATTAAACAAACACGAAACTGGTTACCAACAGAACAAGCAACAGACTTGAAATCATCCAATGAATACCCACAGAATGATCAGGCAACTTCCTCACAGCATCAATAGCACCATTAATATCATTCCGATCCCAAAAATGCCGCAACAACTGCAAATTTGTTAGAATTTTACATGCTCACAGCCTTGTAATATAAAATAAGATGCTAGAACGCAATTCATGTAACAAGCAATGACAGAACACCAAAATAGACTATCAGCGGCATAACAACCAGCCAGCAACATCTTTAAATGTTCTGGCAATGGAGGCTGATATGGACCTGCTAAACTTACCTGTAATTTCGTCAAGCGGGACCGAAGGGTACTCAAGAATACATCATGATTCTGCATCAAATCTTCAGTTAAGTCACCATCATTTGAGGATGTCAACTCCCTTCCAGTAATTTGTGGATCTCTATTCTGTAAGTCGCCACGTAAAATGATGAATATTCGAAAGACAAAGACTCTTTAGACAAAATCTAAAAATGTGTCTGCATTAAATGAGAGAAGGAAAAAAAGAAAACTGAAATATAACGTTTAACATTATACACTCCAGAACAAATCCCAATCCCCTAGGCCTCTCTTCCCCTTCCTCTTCCTCATACATGCAATCATTACTTTGGCTAGGCTACTAGTTTGTAGAACCTTAATTGAGAGAGAGAGAAACTGGGACACTAATTCCATAGGTTTCAATTTATACAACTATGGCCTATCCCCCTTGCACCCCAACTCTTCCAACCTTTACTTTAGGCATGGTCCATCCAGTTAAAACCAAGTACCAATATAGACCAAACTGAAAGGTCATATCAAACAGAAGATGACGGTATTTAAAATCACCAGCATGGAACAATCCAACTTGCTTCCAGCAATTGGAAATAATAGTGTTTACCATAGTGCTAATACAAGACACCAAATGATGTTCCCACGTCCCAGACACCAAATGATGTTCCCACGTCCCAGTCGTAACGCCCTCAAAATAAACCCATAATAACATACATTCAAGATAAAGAAAAGAGATTTCATATTACAATTATCAGAGTATTTTTACAAAAGGTATTACATGATGACAATAAAAGTAAATGCCCTACGGGTTTACAACTTTCCAAGTCAACACTTGGTTACAAAAGAGAGTACTAACTCTATACAAAATAAGCCCTTGGTTTGATATACATGTAATACAACAAAAACAGCAAAAAAAAAAAAAGTCCAGCAGCCTCAAGCCTCCCAAGCTACGTCCTTAGAGGTGGCATATTACTTGTACCTGAAGATGATGTCCCATATAGGGTGAGCCAACGCCCAGTAGAGATATGCTAAACATAATATGAGCAATAACTAAAACATTAGCATTTGATAAATGTTTAACTCACATAAATAAATTCATATCCATTTCAATTACATGACAAACGTGTCCATGTTTCATTCCATTTTCCATTTCTTATCCAATTTCTCAATTCATAACTATGGCTTAGAACCTGGCCAAACAATTTAAATGAGATCACATCTCATATCAACAATACTTCCATTTCAATTGAGGTAACAACTCAAATTAAACACTTCATACTTCACAATAGATACACATAATTGCTGTATCAATCTCAAATAAAACACTTCCGTACTTCATATATGATACACAGATTTGCTGTATCAATACTTCAATAGATACACATATTTGCTGTATCGATGGAGTCCATCCCCTATCTCCTCCCAAACAATATCCGGTTTACGTTTCCTTTTGTAGTTATGCCCATGAAGGGCTGCATCCCCTATCTCCTCCCACACAATACAATGTATACAAACACATATCATATACATAATCAATCAATACATAAATTTGATGTATTATTCCAACTATCATATTCGATGACATATTCAATTGACTAGTTTTAGTTCGCCTAATCATCATGCATTGTCTACAACAATCAAGACCATCCTCCACCGATAGCCCAAAGCAGTTATTTCTAAACAGATAATAAATACCTCAACAGATATATATACATTCAACATTTTCAAAGTGAGCGATTAATAAATCCAACTCCACCATTCTATCTCATAATGAGCCAATTTCATTATTTCCAACTCAATTTCATATTTCCATAATAAATGTCATTAATTACACTGATGACCCAAATATACCCAATCATGGCATTTTTCTCCTTTTTCTCAATATTGACCCAAAGGCTCAAATATTATCAACAACATCAATAATCTCTTTTTAAGACCCCAAAATACACATATATGAGTCAAAAGGACAAAACCCCTCTTTTCAATATACCATATCTCAAGCCCTAACTTCCCAAATCAAACCATCTATACAAATAGCTCAACATCTATGTTAAAGCACATAAGATGAGTAGTTATCCCTACCTCAAGAGATGAAATCCAAAGGAGAATATGAAGAAATCCCGAAGTGCTCCAAATCAAGAAATTTTTGAATTGATAGAAAGTCCACACCAAGCTCTACACTTTTTGTAAAGGCTCAAGGGTAAGAGATCACTCTAACTAGATCAAGTCCTAGAGAGAAGTTAAGGTTTTAGAGTGAGGTGCTCTTAAATGGTGGTTTTCAAAAAGTAAGAGAGAGAAAGGATGTTGAAAAGTGATCCAAAAAGTGAAATCCCGAAGTGATATAAAAGTCGCCTCGCTCGAGCATGAAAACCCCCGCTCGAGCGTCAGACACAGATTCACGCTCGAGCGTCAAAACACCCGCTCGGGCATCGGATGCACACTCACAGAAGTTTTGCAGGCGATGGTCCCCGCTCGAGCGTATGAAGACCTGCAGAAAAAATACTGGGAGATGGAAATTCACGCTCAAGCGGAGAAGCAACAACAAAGGGCCTGCTCGAGCGTCAAAAGCCCCGCTCGAGCGTGAAGGCCAAATTCTGGGCATCAACTCTAGGTTTCAAAGCATAACCAACCTGTTCCAAACCTGCCCAATACAACCCAAGACTCAAATACAAAGAGTAAGGAATTAAAAGATGACAACAAGACATATACAACAACCAACTCCACGGAACCTAAGTTCGAAATACTGTTAAACAGTGAAGGAAAAATCGGGATCGCTATACCATAGGAGTCAGACACTGATACATGAGGCTAGATCAAGTGCTTGTGCTCATAGAATTTAATTATGATTAATTATACACTGCGTCATTAGCAGTAAAAGTAATACAAGTAGCCTACTAATTCAAAATATCCTGCATGTGTGTTCATACAAAATCAAAACAATATCACACATCACTATGCCCATGCATCAGTCACAAAAGATAACCATTTAAGTAGGCAAAAACCCTACCAGCATGGGGGTTGTTTTAGCAGTCTCAGTTATTATATGAGCGGTTGTATCATGTGCCTGAACCTCATCACTATGTAATCTTTCTCTCCTTTCAAACCTCTCAACCAGATAGCGCGTCCTTCCCTGTACAACTGCCACTGCCAAAAGAATCAAATTCTATACAATGTGACCTTTCAAGCAGTGTAGATATCATTTGATAGCAAACCTCCATTGACAAGTTTAACCGAATTTGTCCCTTCAGTGCTACTGGGGGGATCATTGCCTGAAAAAAATGAAGGGAAAAAAAGGAAAGAAAAAACAATCAAACTCGTGAGCAATAGATTGTATATATAATCAAAATCTCATACGATAACATTCAAAAACATAAATCATATTTTGGACATATGCACGATATGAAGCAAAACATTCTTCTACCCTTTAACAGTATGGCATTGGTAAGTCAAAAACCCAAGAGAGGAATGAAAACAGTACAGAAGAGAAAGTACTGGACTTTGATAAATTTTGAAATGAAAATGGAGTTTAAAAACTTACATTAGTCTTTCTTTAAAGAATTTCAAACTGGAAATGGAAGAAATGATGTTTTCAGAAATTGGTTTTGTCAAGTAATCTCCCCTTTCTTTCTGGAAAATGTAAATGTCTTCTGAAAACAGAATCAATATGCTGCAAGTTCTAGGTAAAGTTTCAATCTCAAAATACAGATTTGTTAATGTAATTGGCAATGAATTCCCAGATCTGTATGTTCACAAAGTAATAATGTCAACACACATGCTTTATCATGTTTTATGCAAGGTAGTTAAGAAACAGAAAATTCATAAGTTCAGCCATCACTAAAATGGACCTAGAGATTGATGAGTGAACAGGACAAGAAAGGAAATAATTACAAAAAATAAATAGATAAGAAAGTAAAAAATCAGAACCACCTTCCAGCGGAAGGGGAATAACAGGTACAACAGCAGGACTGTCCAGCATAAAGATGCATTCCATCCAAGACATAACCCAAGTCAAACAGCTCCCGAGCTATAACTCATTGCATGGGAATATAATATGGATCGTGTCAACTTTGTATGCCTCTCAAAATTACTCAAGTGATCTTAATATTTGATCTTAAAAGATCACATCCCCATCTAAAGTTGATTACATGAAAGACAGACTCAAACACAATGGATCCAAACGAAATAGTATAATTTCTCCTGCGCTACAGTTAATTTTATTTATTTACACTACAGGTCAGAATCAACATCCAACATGCCTCAAAAAACACAAAATGACCATGAAAAGTTACAATAGAAAGTCAACTCTCCTATACGTGATAAGACTTTCGATTATATGTTCAAGTTGGGAATTTCTCACTCCTAAGTGGCAGAAATGCAAGTTGAAATCTTATATTCCTCTCCACATAAAACAATAACTGTAATCTCCAAAAAGCCACCATTTGCATACTGAAAGTCATTACTTCTGAATCCACATCAATGAAAGGAAAAACCTAGACCTGAAATTCTGCCTGCCAGAAAACAAATAGTCACCCAATTTGTTTCCTTTAAGCTTCAAGATAAAAGGATGAACATGTGTACTAAACACCACACAGATCGTGAACACATAATGCAATCTCTGCAGCTCATCTCAACAGCTCATATCTACTGTCCTCAAGATGATCCTATCTAGGGAAAAAGAGCTGATGCCTTTGTAATACCCCATTGTACAAAATGAAATTGATATCGATATAAAAGATCCTTCCTGTAGGTATCACCTAAACAAGACACTTTGGAAACTCATTATGTTTGAAAATTTGACAAAGAGAACAGACTACGAAAAGAGAGGTGGAGAGGAAGACAGAAGTGGGAAGACTTAACAAGAAAAACTGAAAAATAGAAAGAGATAAGGAAAGGAAGATAGAGACTAATTTCAGCTTTCCTTTCAAGCAAAAGTCCACAATCCTCCACCAAGCCACGTCCATCCCACCTTCTCAGGTACCTGCAAGGGCTCTTGACATGTTAATACAGCAATATTGCAGCCAGAAGTAAAATTAGAAAGGTAAGACATTGGAATTACCTAAGCCTCTCAAATCTAGTAGTAATACCCACCTCCATATGGGCGACCACTCCCATAAAAAGATGAATACGGGCCTTCGCCATACTGTAACATGACAGAACATGAGAAATCATGAGCATGTTAAAGTGCAAGCCATGAATCAACACAAAATTAGCCACAAGTACTCACATCAGAGCCATAATAATCATGCGAGTAGAGACTGCTTCCAGCACCATACGAATCTAGAACAAAAAGGGATATCAGCCATCTGACAAAAATACAAGCCATACAAACAAGCAGGGCAAAAGCAACATTGCACACAATCCACACCTTGATAGCGAGGCGTACGAAATGGAACAGCAGGATCAGAGTAATCCAATCTAGGACGGAGTCTGCTAGGCTCCATGTAATCACGATCCTGGTCCTTATGGCCAAAAGCATACATACAAACAATAAGGTACACTGTGTGAAGCTGAAAGAAATCTCAAAACAGAACTACTTTCACAAAACTAAAATGAATTCCAGCTTACTGTCATAAAGAATGGTCGCTTCATCCCATGTGCACTGTCATCATAAAAGTAAGGGTCATCAAAATGCCTTCCAATGAAGGGTCTGTTAAATCCTTCTTCAGGGGGAAATGGTTGCCTCCTTGGTGGAATATGCCTCCCACGGCCTCTATCAGGTGCATCATGCCTGACCCTATCAAGGTTAGGTCTTGCTGAAACAGAGCCTCCACTAGATGCTTCATGAGCACCCCCAAATGAATCTCTCCATCCACCTGCTCATGTAAGATAACAATTAAGGGATTGATAACTGCATCCATCTATATTATAAAGACTAGCAGAAACCTTTCATTCATTGGAATGGGAATTGAATATGTTAAAGAACTAGATGACTAATTTAGATATTACGTGTCAGATCTCTTTGTCAAAAATTAACTTGCCTCGAAGTGTTTCTGCCAATTGAGGTTTTTTTTTTTTTTAGACTAAGAACACAAGAAAAATGTTTTAATAGAAAATTATGTAATCATGTGAATGCAATGAAGAACAAAATTGTAAATTTTATAACCTTTCTGCCAAGTACGAATTATGAGCCCCGTCTTTCTTCCTTTTTCATAACCTTGTACCGAGTACAAATTACAAGTGGCCTCATCATTATGTGACTAACAAGGTCTTAATCTATGTCACCCCTCTCCTTCAAGTCTTTAAAATGTTAAAATTACTTATTAACAAGAAAGGAGAGGAAAATTCTACGACCCCCCCAAACCCCCCCCCCACACAAGAAAAGGATAGTGCTGATGCACATGGGGCCTCAAGGGCTGATATGATGTAAAAGAGATTCTTGGTTTATGGTTTTTAATAGAAGCATATATATAAATGTGAAAAAAACAGACGCACAAAGGCATGGTTGTCCGTTTATCCATTCATTAGCAAAAAGAATGAATTTAAACATCAGAAACTCAGTAGATTCATAAAATAACCTCGCCCGAACATTTCTCTTCGCTGGAAAGGAGGATACTGGATATCAAGATCATGTTCACGGTTAAAACCCATTCTCCAAGTATGACCACGTCCACGTTGATAGAAACCCCTGCCGTGTTGAAAGTTTGGCCGGTTGAATGCATGACCACCCCGCCCAAAGCCCCTTCCTGTAAACAACAAAGATTGCATTTTATAAAAATAACCTAAAAAAGATACTGAAGCATCAGTTGTCCAAATTTTAGAGTTACCAAATCTTGAAAAGCTTCCAGCACCACCATGGCCAATTCTAAACCCTCCACACATTCCACCCTTGATAGCCTGACTTTTTGGCAAAGGATTCGAAAGTCTTGCTTTCACTTTAGTCTAACAATAAAAGAGAACAATATCACTGACTCTGTTAATACCACATTAAACACTCTGCAATAACATCAGGCCAATATCATTAGCATGCATGTGTATGTAGCGGTAAAAATGTGCATGTCAAAGAGGTTAATGATCTAAATCAATAAAAAGGTCAAAAAGGGTAAGTTAGCACCATGAATGACTACAATCTAGCTGTCCATGGCAAAATATGCACACAATTCTCAAAGATTTGTGTGCAGTGTCCACAAAATCAATCCATATGTAACAGGATCACAAAATATTTGCAAGGCAACTCCTAAACCCTACCCATGCACATCAAAAAATGTTTTTATAACTACTGGACTAGAAGAATACCTTCAAGTTCCCATCACCAAAGTCTCTGTTATTTATGCCCTCAACACAAGCAACGGCAGCCTCATGTGTAGTAAAATCAACAAATCCATAATCCTTCCTCTTGGCAGTTGGCAAGTTACGGGCCAGCATAATACGTACAATCTCTCCATAGCCTTTAAATTGCTCCCTAACTCGGTCCTCATCCCACTGGGGAGGAAGCCCATCAACAAATACTGACTTAACCTGGGCCGTTACCTCTGGATCTGGTTCACGTAAAGGTTCAGCAAAAGCTACTTTGGCAGTCCTCTCAGAATGGCCAAAAACAGCATCCGGCTTTTGAAGCCTCTTATATGCAAGCATGGCATCAGCATGACAAGAGAACTCAATAAATGCAAAGCCACGACTCAACCCTTCATGCCTGACATCTGAGACAAGAGTAATGTTCTCAACACCTTCAATTCCATAGTCTTTCAGTTTTTGTTTGATCTGCCAAGTTGCCAACCCATGTCAAATTAATAATGAGCAAGCAATCTTGTTTAGAATACATCTACTATGTTAAGTAAATCTTACAGCTTCCTTTGTCCACGTATTGCAAATATTGCCCAAGAACAATGTGTCATTGTCCTCATTTGGTGCAGTCCCACATCGCTTCCCACGTATCTATGAACAACAAAAAATTAGAACACACTAAAATTGGAAAAGAAACAACAACTAAGAGAAAATTCATACAAGAGGGTTTTTCATTTCTGATAAAGCTCGACTTGCTTGCTCCTTAGTTGCAAACTTCACAAATGCATAACCCTTATTTTTGTTAGTTGAAGGATCCTTATTCAACCTAACTCCAACTACCTCACCAATGTTCTCAAAAGCCTTTTTCACATCCTCTTCCACTGCATCACGATCCAACCCACCAACAAATATCTCCACCTCCTTCCTAATCTTGCGCTCTTTTGCCACAGCAGTAAATTCCAAGCATTCCTCTTCCAATGCCTCTTCTTCTTCGCCATGCTCCTCAATATTTTCCTCTGCAAGCTCTTCCTCACCAAATTCTTCAAGAACTTCTTGGTCCCTGCACTCCTCCATCCTCTCCTCACCCTGGTGCGCATCCCCAGGTTCAGCATCTTGTCCTTTCAATTCCTTGTTGGTATCTTCCTCCATGCTGACAAGCTCATTATTGGGTCCCATTTTATCCTCAACAATTCTCATTTCCTCCTTTTTTTCCTTCACCTCGGCTTCCTCCCTTGCCATAACAGGTTCTCGACTCTCTAAAGACTCTGCAACATCGACAGCAACAGGATCTTCCTGCGTTGTAGATTTTCCAACATTTGGAACCAGAGGTTGTTCCACATCAACAGCCTTTTCTTCCTCCTTTGTGGGTTCTTCAACATTTACAACACTCTGATCCTCCTCCATTTTGGTTTCTTCAACATTTTCAACAGCAGGTTCTTCCTTCTTGGCAGATTCTTCAACATTTGAAACAGAGGATTCTTCTTTCTTCTCATAATCTACATCCTTAGCATCCCCAACCTGTTCCTTCTCGGAGGATTCTTTACCCTTCAACTTTTCAGTTCCCTCC